AAATCTTCCTCCAAAATCTCCCATGTGATTGTCGAGTTCAAAATTGACATAGTTATTGGGCTAAAGTGAAATTGAAAATTCAAAAAATCGTTATGAAAGACTCAAAATTTTGTTTTAAGAAGATTTTCAACTGAAGAGCAGCTGAGGAGAATGGCTGTGGAGGCGAGCTGAGGGAGGTATGAGCTTCTTAGAAATCAAAGAACTCGAATCAAAGGACTCGATCAAAGATCAAAGAACTTTGATTTATTAGAAATCAAAGAACGCTGCAATCATCAAAGAGGAAAAAGGACAAAAAGGAACAAAAATGAAAGTAGACGTGAACTTTTGAATACAAATGACGTTTGTACACAGATAACAGTCGAGGAAAAGAGAGAAAAAAAGACTAAAGGACTAAAGGACAGAAAGGTGAGGTTTATTGATGGGGAATGGGGGCAACGCCCTTTCTTTATCCACTCATTCAACGTTGAGTTTCGAAGTATACTTAGTGTGTAATTGTTTTGGTTACTCAAAATTGAGCCACAAATACTGGGGAATGAATTGAAAGAATCAAGTCGGTGTTGATAAGTTCGTATGGTATTTTCCGATCAAAAACTGAATTAAGACTTGTTTTACGACAGGTTTTGCCAATTGCCATTGCTTTTCAATTTCAATCATCTAACTTTTCTTCGACCATTATAAAGCTTATTTTTAGATTTCAGAATTTCCAGATGTCCATTCTCTCACCTTCAGGGAAACTCCTTGGACCAGTTTTACAAGGAAGATCTACATGATCTTTGAAAACAACGGGGAAAATTTGGTCCAAGCAAATTCTATAGTAAGTAGCTTGGAGAGGCAACAGTAAAGATATTTAGATTTAAAGTATATTTAGACTTCGAGATGTTTTGCTTTAAAGATCTTTGGCTTTAATGATCTTTCGATTTAAAGATATTTGGCTTTAAAGCTCTTTAGATTCAAAATATTTAGACTTAGTGGTCTTTTGGGTTTACAGATCTTTTGGCCAAGATATTTAGCTTTAAAGATCATTTAGATTTACAGATCTTTAGCTTTCCAGGTGTTTAGAGTTCAAGATCTTTATGATTTTAAGCGATCTTTTAGCACCAGAATACTTTAGCTTTAGCGATTTTTAAGCTTTAACGATCCCTACAGCTTTAACGAGTTTTATGCTTTAACGATTTTCCAGCTCCTTTTTAACGATTTTTAGCTTTTAGCGATCTTAGCTTTAACGATTTTTAGCTTTAACGATCTTAGCTTTAACGATTTTTAGCTTTAACAGATTTTTAGCTTTAACGATCTACAGCTTTCATAATATCTTTAGATTTTGATCTTTTACAGCTTTAAAGATCTTTTGCTTTAAGAGATCCTTTAGCTCTTTAGCTTTAATGATCTATAAGCTCTTTTAGCTCTTTAGCTTTTAAAGCTCTTTCGATTTAAAGAGTATTTAGCTTCCATTCAGCTTTCAAAGAACCTTCAGGGTTTTTCTGTCATGGAAATAGCTTTGATCACTTTAGATTGGATTGACAATATAGATGGATTGCCTAAGAAAGCTATGGTGAAGAGAATGTAGGCTCGTGTGGTAGGAGTTCACCGGAGTCTCGAGTAAACTTCAGAACAAGAGGTTATTAAGATTACGAGATTTTGGGTAGTCGATTTTATAGATATTTCATAGATTTCAATTAAAATTTATCTATTTAGCTAGGTGACAATGGAGTTCGACGCGTATTTTGGTGAAAGCCGCAGCCTCGGATTCTTTTTCCTCGGGTTTCTTGAAAGCGAGAATTTTACGCTGGGGGTCGGCGATATACGAATTACGGTTCTTTTACATTCTTTCATTCATTTCTCATTTCATTTCACAAAACATACGCACAGGTTACGTTGCGATTGAGTACTTTGCAGGAGGATCGTGGCACAACGGAGACGTCTCTTTGGTTCAACGCCCCATGAGATCATCTATCAAGGGGTTGATCTCATCGCTGATTGACGTTTCATTTTCCTTTTTTCTGAACTTTCTACAATTTATATAAGATTTATAAAAGAAATTGTAGCATTGAAATCCATCACTTGTCAAGAAATGGTGTAATACCAGCTACCGGGCCGATTCTCGAGATCATTGCCAGTTACAGGTTGATTTGTTTTTTTTTGAGAACTATCTAAAATTGCATGAATTAAAAACGTTTGTGAAAATGAGGGAAATGTATCCAAAATGTTTGAAACAATCATCGAATATTTGTGGAAAAAAAACGGATGAGTTAAAAGATTTCGAGAGAAAACGATGAGGAATCGAGATTTAGTGTAAGTTTTGGGGAATTCAATGCGATGAAAAACTTTTTTCTTTTCTTTTTCTTTTCTTTTTCTTCTTCTTCTTCTTAGCCAAAAGATACCCAATTTTACAAAGAATTGAAATGTTATTACAGTTTTGAAATCACTTCTTTTGATTTTGTCTTATCACAATTTGTGTGAGCTCTATGGTATTAAAAGAATCTGTTAAAATCTGTCAAAATCTCTCAAAATCTCTCAAAATTAGAACCTAAACGATTAGGAGTATTCAAAGAAAAGAAATTGTTTATCAACTCTAGAAATCGAAAAAGTTTTCAATAAGTTTGTCATTTTTAGAAATTTTGCAATATCAATCATTGATCAATTGATTGGATCAACCCATTGGATCACCCGATTGTGATCAATCATTAGATCAAATGGATTGGATCAACCATTGAATCAATTCGATTGGATCAATCACTGAATTAATTCGATTAGGATCAATCATTAGATTAATTTAATTTTCACACTTTACCTTCTAAGTATGAAAGTTCTCATTTCTCCTTTGATCTTCCTCAACTACCTTTTTATTATTCTTTTTATTTAGCTTATATCAATTCTTGAATTTTTGATTGTTTTCTTCCTACATCCATTCACCCGTTCGCACTTTATGTGATTGTGTAGTCTCTATTTCGATCACCCTGTCTGATATCACAATACAAAGTTAATCAAACAATATTGATCTATTTCTTTCCCTTTTTTGTTCTTTCTCTTCCCATCATATCCATCGTTTACGAAAAGCTTCCTATCCGATTTCTTCAATCGGTCAGCTGTTTTGCGGGCACCTAAACGAAAACATTTTTTATTCTCCTTTCTTCGTTTTTTTTTCTTCTTCTTCTTCCTTTTTAGTTTAGTTCACAAATACAATTTACTAATATACCTTGACCAATTTCTTTTTAATTGTTAGTCAGGAAAATTTTCACGGAAATGGAGGCAACCACAGAACAACACTAAACATACCGTAAATACTCGTAATAGTACTCCACCCTACGCCTCCATAAGGATTTTAAAGTGGAGCGAAGCGTAGCCCTAGCTCTTGAACGAGTTTTTCCTCGATACCACCTGGTTTATGCATACAATGGTAGCAAAGAGTATCAAAAAATAACCCTGAATTTCAGCTAGTTTTTGATACCTAGGCGCGCATTTTTTGGTGAAAGTAAAGACGCTTCTGAAAAAATGAAATACTAAAAACTTTTTATGACTACGCGACTGTATGAGGGGGGTGTGGTACTATTACAGTTTATACGGTAGTTTGATTCATTTCTCTTTCTTTCTAAATACTAAATCATTTCTGACTAGGAATTGTTTCTTCAAAAAAATTCCCTTGATTCTTCAGCTATTCTTTGGATCAACTCGAGTCATTGCTTTACTTTTTACAGCCCAAAGTCGGCATAAAGAATTGAACCAAATTAGCATAGCTTAGTTCAGTTAATACCGATCTTTCAAGTACTTTGTGCTCAAAAATGTACAAAAGCCCTTTCCTTGATGTGCTAGTTCTTTTTCACATTACTCCTAATCATACACTTTTTTTTCTTTGCTTAAGCTTTATCCTCCTGGATTTTTTAAAAAGTCTTCTTTTCCTCAAGGAAACTATGCAATTACACTGATCCTTCACCCCGTTCCCTCTCACTTCCTCGATCACCTAATCTCTCCAAAGTCAGAGAATCAAATTACCACTTTTTCATGAAGTTTCAAAGCCGCAATTTTTAATTCCACAACTGTTTTCGTATTATCAGATATAAAGAAATTTTTTAAATGAATATAATGAAAAGTTTGAGGCTTAAAGCCCGTTACTGAAAGTTATGTTGAAAATAGTTTCGAAAAAGAAACTTGATAACTTTGTTATACCAAATTTCCCTTTAAAAATGTAATTATCTCTTGTAAATCTCAAGCTAACTGTTTTCTATAAACGTTAAAGGTATCAAATTTTGGTACTTTTCCAATATCGGGGGAGCGGTCCGATTATCGGGGGAGCGAAAGGAAAATCGGGGGAGCAAATTTTGGCAGCGCTACATATGTCCTATATTATACAAACTACCGCCATAAAATCCGCGAATTACCCGCTATTCTCACAACCTTTATATTAGATCACAAAAGTGACTTAAATATCTAACACCCAGCGAAATGGATCTTTTCCCTTTGAGCGGACTTTCATCGATTCGCCACAGTTGCAAATCCACGACTGGATGACTCCTTTGGTGACGAAATAATCGATTGCCGTCGATTCCTTGAACGCACAAATGTCGGAGAACCGCAACGTCGTTAAAGTTTAAAAAAACGTTGCAGTTAAAATACAGTCCCGGAAATGCATTTTCGAGGGGCAAAATTTGCTCCCCGATTTTCCTTTCGCTCCCCGATATTGAAAAAGTACCAAAATTTTCTTAACAAAATACCCCAGCTGATCATCATTCAAGTGCTTGTTTATCTAACCAAAAATCGATGATTTGTTCAATGAAATCCCAGTCTTTCCCTCTTCTGCCTCACTTTTGTTTTAAAGATCTTCTTCTTTTCTCCTTCTCGAGGAAATTCTTGATTTTAGAACCAAAAAGAAAAAAAAGGAAAAGATTTATCATCTCTATTTTATTGTTTTGCTTTTTTTTTGCTTTTGTTTTGCTTTTCTTTCAGCATTTCTTGTATTTACTATACTTTTGATTTTTAGGTTAAAGATGAGTGTCGATGTGGAGGATATGACCGATGAGGATTTTCTCAATGCAATGGATGATCTCTCGTTAGATAATGAAGGAGATGTGGGAGAGCTATTGAGTGAGTTCGACGTTTAATCTATTTTGGGGTAGGCTATTCGCCATTTTTCTGCAACAGGGTCATTTGTGCAACTGCCATAACTTCTTCTAAGTGGGTCAATCTTTATGGTTTTGGTTTCCATTTTATTGTGCTTATTGAGATCTACAAAATGAAACCAACATCATAAAGATTGGCTTACTTAAAAGAAGTTATGGCGAGTTGCGCAAACGACCCAGTTGCGCAAATAAAATGGCGGAAATTAGCCTACCCCCTATTTTGCAATCATAACCATCTTTCCTAATCTAAATTTTCTTCCATAAACAGGCAAATTCGGTTTCTCTGATGAAACCCTTCGAAACGAAAATGCTAGGTTTATTCAGCTTCTTTTTCTTTTCCTTTTAAAACATAGAATCGAGTTTCATGTTTAAAAGCGAAATTTTTTAGAAGCGATGAATGAGAATCATATGATAAGCTGGGAAGAAGCTGAGAGGATTCTAGCTGACACAAGTAATGAGGTGAGGAAAGGAGAGCTTTTGTGATTGCTTTTGTGATTGCTTTTGATTATGGGATTGATTTTGTGTATACTTTTAAACTTTAACGTTTCAGCCGATCAAATGCTCACTCGTCGAACAGAGTCGACCCACTGAACCCGACAATGACACGAATGTTGACAGGTACAATTACAATTAAATCATTAACACATTCGCGTTAAGGTTGTTTTTTCGATGATCTGATTCTGGAAACTTTTTCTAATGCTTTTTTGAAAAAACTAAAAAGAAAACGCTCTTCAGTATCTCGCTAGCTATCAATTGCAATAAAGAACTTAAAAAACGATCATTGTAGATTAAGATATGATTATTTTTGTCAAGATATGATTGTTTTTATCAAAAGATGATTGTTTTCATCAACCGGATCGTCCCGAATAGATTAATATCGGTATAATGAATAGGAACATTCCATGACCTTGTAACTCTGATCAGGTCAGGCTAGAGTTAAATCAAAAACCATCGTTTATCCCTTTGTTCTAGGTTAAAATGTATTTTTCAATGTATAAACAATAAAATTTGATGTTTAGATGCATTCAACAACTCCAAGCAAACGATCCAGGCCTCAAACAGATCAACTTGAACAATATGAAAGTGAGTTTGACGATCAAATTTCATCACTCCTTTTCCAGCGAACCCCCAGTGCCGCAATTGAAAAGGCTAATCGAGGCGGTGGCCTACAATGAACATTTGGAGAAGCTCAGTTTAGCCAATATGGGATTATATGATACGGATGTAGCGGTGAGTGTTTCAATTTACAAATACTCTAGATTTTTGATTACTATAGGTTTACAAGTATTATAGGTTTTTGATTAGCTATACAAAAATCGAATCTGCAGAGAACGAAAAGCTTTACGTTAGTTTCAAGTCTGACTATCATCCTAAAAAGGAATTTTTCATAAATGATCCTTTTGACTTGCATTCTAGATGAAATGCTCTTAAAAACTACTGTGTTTTGGAGGAAAAATAGCTTCCAATGACACGAGAAAGTGTTTCTTTCACTTTTTTAAAATACATTTCTGTTTTCTCTTGTCTCCCATAGAAACACAAAGAATTTGACGAAAAAAAAGAGAAGAGATTTTGAGAAAACTCACATACTCTCCCTTTCTTCCCCATTTCATACCAATTTCCCATTCTAATTTCCAGAATTTCATCTTTAGTTGAACCATTTTTTATTCAAGAATTCAAAAGCTATTTATTTCTAGCAAGATCAAGAAGTTTCTATATCATTTTGCAAGCTTTTTTTTAAAGTCATTTAATTATTTTAAACATTTGTTTTCAAATATTTAAACATTTTAAACATTAAACGTTAAACATATGCTTGTTTTAAAGTTAAAATGGATTTTAATATGTGCTTTTTTTTAGATTCTCGTCGAGGCACTCAAACTCAATCAGAATTTGAAACATCTCAATTTGGAAACGAACTATTTAAGCGGTGATTTCTTTTTGGTGAGTTTTGGAGATTCGTATTTATACTTTTTTTTAGATATAATTCTTAAGTTAACTATTTATTTTTCATCAATTTATATATATATATTTATTTATTTAGTGGTCTTTTCGGAGGCAGCCGCTGAAAAATGAGACACTTGAAGAGATAAAAGCTGTCAATCAGGTTGGGAAACGTTTCAAGTTTTCACAAACTAAGCACACTAAAGAATATACAAATTTCATCTAAGATTACATGGCATATTAGATTAAAGTTGATGAATAGAATACTTGAATACTATAGTAAATTTGTAGATGTTATAATGGGTTTTTCATACCTTTGCTTTAATACTAATTAGTTAGAGCTTAAAATAGATTGTTTACTTGTCGTTTAATTAAGTAAAAACTAATTCATTTGCACAAGAATAGCACAAGAAGATCATAAAATAGAGATTAAATCTAGAGATTTCTTGAAAATCTATATTATTGTACATTTTTTAATCAAAACCTTTTTTCTAGGGCGTCACTTTTCCACAGAAGCTGAGAAGAGTATCATTCGATCAATTCAAAAGAATCACGGCCTATGCAAAGTGAGTTTTGTTTCTTAATATTACTGTAAAGCAATAAATGTTGATGGTTTTTCTCGAAAAAAGAATATAATTGTAATCTAGGTATCGTTGACATTGCGATTACCCGAGGGGAGGCACAAAATCGAGCAGACAACACTACGAAACGGCGAAATTCGTGAGTGAAGCTTGAAATCTTTGAAAACTTATTATTTAAATATCCATAAAATACAAAAGAAAACCTTAAACTATCTCCAAAAGTTTTGTCAAATTTGTCAAATAACTTTTGTGATTTTTTTTTTTTCTTTTAGAACATTTGTGATCCCATCACATCCGAATGCATTCGAGATGAGCTCTCAAATGACCTCTTTAAAAGCAAAAATCAACTATTTCTCTTGAAAATCAACTGAAAAACATTTTCACTTAATTTTATATATAATTTTCTTTAATATTCTGAAATTTCTCATCTAATTTCTGAAAATTTCATCGAATTCATTTTATCAGGGACGGATTTTGCGCCGAAAGCAAACGAAGAAGAGGACGCAAAGAGAAAATCTGAGGTTAGTGTTTCCTGATTTTTTTAAAAGAAATTCTTCAAGTACCGTAAATGAAAGTATTAAGAATGACATGTCGTTCTATTTTTCAACCCCCAAAATCGGTCGATCCAAAAAGTAGGTAAGGGTACAAAAAGTACAAAAATTTAGAATTTGCTATTTGTCCAAAACGTACAAAAACACGTTTAAAAGTGAAATTATTTTCTTACCCGCGACCCCTTTAGAATCACCAAAAAAAAATCCATATGAGGACCCTTATGATTTTTTTTTCAAAATGTTATTTTTCTGTTTTTCAAAAATAGCCTTTTAAATTTTACTGCTGATAAAATATTAGTAGGTTTTAGGCTTAGATCTATTCATACAACCTCGGCAAGGGGGTCTAAAGTCATGATTTCGAGGGGTCACGGGGGTGTCATTCTATTAGGGGGGTCATTCTAATACAGCATTTACGGTATTTAACAAAAATCATGCTTTTTATGACATTATTCACAAATTTACATGTAAAATTCACAATTTCGGCTGAGATTTGTGAGCAAAAGTTCTCAAAGTGATGATTTTTGTAATGGTTTAGCAGGAAATCTAGACACAATCACTTTTCATTTGCAAATTCTATACTGATTTTATCAAAGATTATCAAGAGTTTATTGGAAAATATGTACAAGAAATATGGATATATCTATTTTGTACCATTTCCTTTGAAGCTCTAATGCCAAAGCAAGTTGAGCCAAAGAAAGTGCCGGTTGGTGGAATAGCATGTAGAGATTTCTGTGTTGTTGTTGTTGTTGCGACCGTTGAGATTGTGTTGAGTAGTCGAGATTGAAATGTTGTTGAGTCAATGGTCGATTGTTGATATGCTTGTGGATTGTGCTCAAACTTGTAAACTTGCATTTCTGTCGCACTCGATTCTGTTCTTTTCGCGCTAGCACAACAAAGTAAAGAATCGAGAGGATTGAGTAAAGATTCGGTTCTTTTCACGCTAGCACAAGAAAGCAAAGAAACGAGTCCGATAGAAGAGAGGTGTTTCAACTTTTGAACAAATGAATCCAAGTCTGGTAGTGATCGATTAGAAACATATCGCAAGTTGAGTTGTCTACTGTTTTTGATCAAAAGAGCATGTTGAAGATTCAGTGTAGACTTATGATTGTTGCCTCTATAGTAGTTGAGGTTGCAAACAAATTTCTGTGGCTATCTGTCGTTGTTGAATCAGTCTGGTAGTAACATTTTTGTTCTATAAGCCTCAATTTTTTATTTTCATTAAACTTTGGATGATTTTGACGAGTTTTTTGTATCAGCTTTATGTCAAAATTGGACTGTTTTCCTTTCGGGATACGGTAGCTTTTTCTTCAATGTACCTTATAGAAAGCTCAAGTCTTGAGTCAACCCCAGTTCACTCATGACTCACGCTTCTCTCATTTCATTTCTCACCCCCATTTTTCTCTCATCGTTGTGATTTGATTTGATTTCTTTCATTCATTGCATGCAAATTTCTTTTTGCTTTCATCGTCGTTTCGTTTTTTCAGTTCATGAAATTTCATCCTAAAAATCCATAACCATTTTTCAGTCGAAGCCCGCTGGCACAGCACCGATGATTCTGGCTGAACCCGCGGAGCCACGAAAAACTCGACCTGTTGACAAATTTAACAAATTCCTGGAACAGGCAAAACCTGAACATGAGCTGGACACACAACTCGTTCGGGAAATCCCCAAGAAGAAAGCCGAACCAACGGTGATCAAGAAATTCGAACAAATCAAGAAAGAAGTGGAAAAAGAAGAGAGAAAAGTGATCGAAGTGCCGAAACCGATTGGACAAGAGAAGAAAGGAGAAATCAAAATGGTGATGGCAAAGAAGAAACAAATAGCGACACAGGCAACAGAACAAGAGAAACAAGAGAAGAGGAATGAGATGCCAAGACCCGAGACGACACCGGAAAATAAGGAGAAGGAGATGGGGGAGAAAAAACCGTCAAAAGTTGACATTCTCGAGATACATAATGAAAGAAAAGGAGAAGAAGATGGAGAGACACCGAAAAGGAGGAAACACACAACGGATATATTGGAAGTACATGAACCAAAGGAAAGGAAGAAGAACTTCCGATTGACAGAAATCGAACAAGATGCAAAGGTACAGACAAAAGTGGAACAAGAAGAAAAAGAAAAGGAAGAAAAGAGAGATCCGGAGAAGACATTGAAAGGATGGGAATTGAAAAGAATGGAAAGAGAAAGGGAGAGACAAAAAAGATTAGAGGAAGAGAGAGAAAAGGAGAGAGAGAAAGAGAGGCTCATGGAAGAAGAGATTGAGAGGAGGAGAAGGGAAAGAGAAATGAGGAGACAGGGGGAGGAGGAGAGGATGAAGATGATAGAGGAGGAGAAGAAGAAGAGGAAGATGATGGAAGAAGAGAGGGAAAGAGTGAAAGAGAAGGAGAGGATGAGGGAGAGGGAAGAGAAGGAGAAGAGGAGGAGAGAGGAGGAGGCGAAGGAGAAGATGAGAGCGGTGGAAGGGGAGAGGAGGAGGGAGGAGAAGAGGAGGGAGAAGGAGGAGGAAGAGAAGAGGTTGAAGGAGGAGCTCGAGGAGAAGAGGAAGTTGCGGGAGGTTGAGTTGCAGAAGTTGAGAGGAGGACAGGCGAAGGAGGGGAAAGCAGAGCTGGAAAAGAGTGCACAAGAAGCACCGACAAAACAAGAACAAGTCGGTGAACTTAAAGAAGACTCAAAGAATGAGTTAAAGAAGCAAGAAGTTGAGTCATCCAAACAAAAGCAACAAAAGTCATCCAGGAACCGAAAAAGACGAGATTTTCACCGGTGAGAGCAAACGGACACTCACCACAGCCTCGTTCAAATGCTGTCAAGAATAAGCTTCTAGATCGACAAGAAGCATTGGAGAGCAAAGCAAATCGATCACAACCCTTGCCTAGAGGAGCTCCCGTTGTGCCTAGATTAGTTGGTGGACTTACACAGAAATTTGAGTCAAAAGAGAACAATAACTCTCCAACAAGATTCAATCGAAACTTTAAACGATTGCCTAGTGAATCAGAAAAATCTTTATCGATTCCAAAAGAAGAAGAGAACAAAAAAGTTGAAAATGTTGAAATGAAAACGGAAAGTGAAGTGAAAAACGAAACGAAAGTTGAGTCGAAAACAAAG